CCCCCCCCCCCCCCCCCCCCCCCCCCCTGCAGGTCGTCTCTGTCCCTCAGAGGATCCCGTCTGGAAACACTCGCGAAGGAAAAACGCTGTCAGAGATCAACTGTGAGTTTACCTGTCTGATGATGAAGAAGATGATGATGATGATGATGATGATGATGATGATGATGATGATGGAGCTTGTCTGTCTGCCTTTCAGTTGATCAGATGAAGTTTGATCCACCTTTGAGGAAAGAGACTGAAGCTCATCATGAAGAGGCACACTCACACACACACTCACACACACTCACACACTCACTCGCTCACACACTCACACACACTCTCTCACTCACACACTCACACACTCACTCGCTCACACACTCACACACACTCTCTCACTCACACACTCACACACTCACTCGCTCACACACTCACACACACTCTCTCACTCACACACTCACACACTCACTCGCTCACACACTCACACACACTCTCTCACTCACACACTCACACACTCACTCGCTCACACACTCACACACACTCTCTCACTCACACACTCACACACTCACTCGCTCACACACTCACACACACTCTCTCACTCACACACTCACACACTCACTCGCTCACACACTCACACACACTCTCTCACTCACACACTCACACACTCACTCGCTCACACACTCACACACACTCTCTCACTCACACACTCACACACTCACTCGCTCACACACTCACACACACTCTCTCACTCACACACTCACACACTCACTCGCTCACACACTCACACACACTCTCTCACTCACACACTCACACACTCACTCGCTCACACACTCACACACACTCTCTCACTCACACACTCACACACTCACTCGCTCACACACTCACACACACTCTCTCACTCACACACTCACACACTCACTCGCTCACACACTCACACACACTCTCTCACTCACACACTCACACACTCACTCGCTCACACACTCACACACACTCTCTCACTCACACACTCACACACTCACTCGCTCACACACTCACACACACTCTCTCACTCACACACTCACACACTCACTCGCTCACACACTCACACACACTCTCTCACTCACACACTCACACACTCACTCGCTCACACACTCACACACACTCTCTCACTCACACACTCACACACTCACTCGCTCACACACTCACACACACTCTCTCACTCACACACTCACACACTCACTCGCTCACACACTCACACACACTCTCTCACTCACACACTCACACACTCACTCGCTCACACACTCACACACACTCTCTCACTCACACACTCACACACTCACTCGCTCACACACTCACACACACTCTCTCACTCACACACTCACACACTCACTCGCTCACACACTCACACACACTCTCTCACTCACACACTCACACACTCACTCGCTCACACACTCACACACACTCTCTCACTCACACACTCACACACTCACTCGCTCACACACTCACACACACTCTCTCACTCACACACTCACACACTCACTCGCTCACACACTCACACACACTCTCTCACTCACACACTCACACACTCACTCGCTCACACACTCACACACACTCTCTCACTCACACACTCACACACTCACTCGCTCACACACTCACACACACTCTCTCACTCACACACTCACACACTCACTCGCTCACACACTCACACACACTCTCTCACTCACACACTCACACACTCACTCGCTCACACACTCACACACACTCTCTCACTCACACACTCACACACTCACTCGCTCACACACTCACACACACTCTCTCACTCACACACTCACACACTCACTCGCTCACACACTCACACACACTCTCTCACTCACACACTCACACACTCACTCGCTCACACACTCACACACACTCTCTCACTCACACACTCACACACTCACTCGCTCACACACTCACACACACTCTCTCACTCACACACTCACACACTCACTCGCTCACACACTCACACACACTCTCTCACTCACACACTCACACACTCACTCGCTCACACACTCACACACACTCTCTCACTCACACACTCACACACTCACTCGCTCACACACTCACACACACTCTCTCACTCACACACTCACACACTCACTCGCTCACACACTCACACACACTCTCTCACTCACACACTCACACACTCACTCGCTCACACACTCACACACACTCTCTCACTCACACACTCACACACTCACTCGCTCACACACTCACACACACTCTCTCACTCACACACTCACACACTCACTCGCTCACACACTCACACACACTCTCTCACTCACACACTCACACACTCACTCGCTCACACACTCACACACACTCTCTCACTCACACACTCACACACTCACTCGCTCACACACTCACACACACTCTCTCACTCACACACTCACACACTCACTCGCTCACACACTCACACACACTCTCTCACTCACACACTCACACACTCACTCGCTCACACACTCACACACACTCTCTCACTCACACACTCACACACTCACTCGCTCACACACTCACACACACTCTCTCACTCACACACTCACACACTCACTCGCTCACACACTCACACACACTCTCTCACTCACACACTCACACACTCACTCGCTCACACACTCACACACACTCTCTCACTCACACACTCACACACTCACTCGCTCACACACTCACACACACTCTCTCACTCACACACTCACACACTCACTCGCTCACACACTCACACACACTCTCTCACTCACACACTCACACACTCACTCGCTCACACACTCACACACACTCTCTCACTCACACACTCACACACTCACTCGCTCACACACTCACACACACTCTCTCACTCACACACTCACACACTCACTCGCTCACACACTCACACACACTCTCTCACTCACACACTCACACACTCACTCGCTCACACACTCACACACACTCTCTCACTCACACACTCACACACTCACTCGCTCACACACTCACACACACTCTCTCACTCACACACTCACACACTCACTCGCTCACACACTCACACACACTCTCTCACTCACACACTCACACACTCACTCGCTCACACACTCACACACACTCTCTCACTCACACACTCACACACTCACTCGCTCACACACTCACACACACTCTCTCACTCACACACTCACACACTCACTCGCTCACACACTCACACACACTCTCTCACTCACACACTCACACACTCACTCGCTCACACACTCACACACACTCTCTCACTCACACACTCACACACTCACTCGCTCACACACTCACACACACTCTCTCACTCACACACTCACACACTCACTCGCTCACACACTCACACACACTCTCTCACTCACACACTCACACACTCACTCGCTCACACACTCACACACACTCTCTCACTCACACACTCACACACTCACTCGCTCACACACTCACACACACTCTCTCACTCACACACTCACACACTCACTCGCTCACACACTCACACACACTCTCTCACTCACACACTCACACACTCACTCGCTCACACACTCACACACACTCTCTCACTCACACACTCACACACTCACTCGCTCACACACTCACACACACTCTCTCACTCACACACTCACACACCCTCACACTCTCACACACACTCACACACACACATTTAATAATAATAATAAAAATGACAAACAAAAGGAAATTAGAATCAGTTCAATATAATAATAATAATAATAATATACGTAGATAAACAATAATCTTAAAGTTAAAAGCATGAACATAAAATAATAGAATAATGAAATGAATGTTTTTACAGAGCGACTCTGATCGTTTCCTGGACTGTGAGGAGGAGCTGTACTTCACGGCCAGATCACGCCTGGTATTTATACACACTGATGCAGTCACAGGGGGGGGGGGGCTAATGCTAACAGGCTAACCATCATTACAACCTTTCAGATATGACCAGCAGTCTGTTAATAGTATTTAAAGTTATTTCCCATGAGAACCAGTTTGTCTGTCAGTAGAAACAGTGAGGGGCTGCTGTGTTTTGGTCCTTTGGGAGATTCACTGTTGGAAGTTGCTGATTCAGCGCAGACGCTCAGCCGACGCTCAGCCGACACTCAGCCGACCAATCAGCTGCCTCCACATCTGCTCCTAACTTGTGTTATCAGAGTGGGGGGGGGTCTGTGTGGACGAGGGGGAGGGAGTTGTATGATGGTTGTCACCAGGAAAACTGAACAATAATAATCATATGATAATCAACCCCCCCCCCCCCGCCCAAAACCAAACTAACCGTGTATCTCCTGCAGGAGCTGCAGATGGAGGATGAAGACGCTGCTGCAGGATCAGGATCAGGATCAGGATCCAGCCTCCGTGGACACAGGTGAGAACGTCCTCATCCTCAGTCCAGCAGGGAGCTGACAGAGGAAGAGGAGGAACACATGATCCACCTGTCCTCAGTGTCTTCATGTGACTGGGTTCCAGAACATTATGACTGTTGCTGCTCACTGCTCCAAACACACACTAATAATTTATGAGCTGATTCTAAAAGTGAGTTCAGACACAAAGTCCACTCACTTTTCCTCCTGCTTCTTTTACTTGATTTGGTTCCTGGACTCTTCAGATCCAGTTCAGATCCTCAGAATCATCCAAAAGAACTAATCAGAAATTAAGGAAGTTTTACTAAATCATTTAACCCATAAATCAATATGTAGATCAATATAAAGATAATAAATCATCACAGAGAGCCCACAGTCAACACAACGCTCACCGAGATCAAACGGAATTATACACACACCTCAGTAAGTCAACACGTCACGTGATGTTTACAAACACTCTGAACTGAAACATCAGATCTTCTGCTGGAAAACATTTTACTGATACGTTTGGGATCAATATATTTGTCAATACATATTCCACAGTGAAATGAGACAGTGACGTATGACGAGCTGTGGGCGGAGCCAGGTGGCGTCTGTAATGAGAGCTCTGATCAGTGATCAATGAAAACCTGGTTCACAGTCACTGTGGTCACAACACCAGGACCAGCTCAGAGTCCAGAGCTACTTCTGGAGTCCTGGTCCGGTCCTGGTCCGGTCCTGGTCCGGTGTTCTGAGTAGGCGTTCCTAATAAAGTGAGCACTGAGCCTCAGTCTTTTACGTTTAAATATAATGTGAAGAAGAAGCAGAGAGCCGCAGTGTTTCTGTCCTCCATCAGTGTGGCGGAGTGTCGACCTCAGCTCCATCTGAATAATTTATCACTCCCCTCAGGGGGGTGGGGGTGGGGGTGGGGGTGGGGGTGGGGGTGGGGGGTGAATGCAGAGCAGTGGTGCTGCTGATGAAAATTTAAAGACGCTGCATCGGAGCACTTTGGAATATTTGCTAACGGTGAAGAAAATCCAGAGCTGGAAGGTTTTAAATGGACAGCTGACATTTCACTGACGTCCTGAGCTCAGGACACCGCCGCCATCTTTTCTTCTTCTACTGTCTGAATGTGTGACCTCCGACCTCTGACCTCTGACCTCCTCACTGAGGCTCAGACTGTGGTTCACTTCAGCTTCACACAAAACCTACAAAAGCTCAGAGGGAAAAACTACCTGCACAGAGAGGGGGGGGGGGGCAGACAGGTGACCTGACAAGCTGCAGTGTCAGTGTGTATTGATGCAGAACACCTACAGCTGATCTGAGGGAACACAGAGCTGTACTGTGACATCATCCAGGTGATACACACCTGGAATAAACAGTCCAAACTTAATGGTTCACTTACTCAGTTCCTTGTGAACAGGTGTGTGCCAGATGACACTCACCTGGACCATGAGGCTGCAGATGAGGATGATGAGGATGAAGAAGACCAGTCAGAACTGTCTGACCACGACAGTGAAGTGCAGGCGTGAGTGTGATGGGAACACTGAAACACCTTCACAGGTGTGATTCAGATTTAGTGGGCGTGTCCAGAGGATTCACAGGAAGTTCCCTTCTCTCTTTCTTACAGTGTAAAAGACTTGACGCTGCGGCCCTGCCCTCCTCCTGAAGCTCCTCCCCCTCAGGTGTGTCCTCTCACCTGGATCAGTCTACATGTCTGCCTGTGTGTTTGAACCAAGCTTTGACCTCTCCACCCCCCCAGGATGGACCCCTTCTTCCTGATAATGGTCACCATGGCAACCTGGACCAGGGTACCGTAAAGCGTCATCCTCTGTCAGAGAGCTTGATCCTGTCCACCACCCAGGGCCCCCCGAGACCTCCACCCCCCAAACTGCCCCCCCAGAGAGTCAGCAGCCTGGGTAAGATCTACAGAACCCTCCAGACCCTTTAGATCCTGCAGAACCCACGTGGTTCAGTTGTGGCTCTCTCTCTCCCTGATATATAGTCTCTCTCTCTTTCTCTCTCTCTCTCTCTCTGATATAGTCTCTCTCTCTCTCTCTCTCTTATATAGTGTCTCTCTCTCTATCTCTCTCTGATATAGTCTCTCTCTCTCTCTCCCTGATATAGTCTCTCTCTCTCTCTCTCTCTCTCTCTCTCTCTCTGATATAGTCTCTCTCTCTCTCTCCCTGATATAGTGTCTCTCTCTCTCTCTCTCTCTGATATAGTCTCTCTCTCTCTATCTCTCTCTGATATAGTCTCTCTCTCTCTATCTCTCTCTGATATAGTCTCTCTCTCTCTCTCTCTCTCCCTGATATAGTGTCTCTCTCTCTCTCTCTCCCTGATATAGTCTCTCTCTCTCTCTCTCTCTCTCTCTCTCGCTCCCTGATATAGTGTCTCTCTCTCTCTCTCTCGCTCTCTCTCTCTCTCTCTCTCTGATACAATGTCTCTCTCTCTCTCTCTCTGACATAATGTCTCTCTCGCTCTGTAGGTAATGGTCCGCCCCCACCTGGTCGTCAGTCAGCAGCGCCTCCTGCTGTCCACAGCAGTAAAGACAGCAGAGATCCTCTGGTAGGATAAACTCTGGTTCTGGTTCTGGTTTGGTCCTGGTCTGGGTCTGACAGCTGATACCTGGTGTTTGGTCTCTGAGCTGATTGAAGTGAATGTGATGATTAATTGTAATTAAAACGGAAAGGGTGGACCTGAAGTTCAGAGAGTAAAGATGTTGTTGCTAGTGGTTCTGGTTCTGAGTATTTGATGCTGTTGTGGTCTGACTTTCGGACTGTTCCTTCATCAGAAACCAGCCAGTAACGGACTCCCACCTACTCCTAAAGTCCACGTGAGTCCTCAGTGCGCACACACACACACACACACACACACACACACACACACAGAGTCTCACTTGTTCTGCTGTTTCTCAGATGGGAGCTTGTTTCTCGAAGGTTTTTAACGGCTGTCCTCTGAAGATTCACTCTGCTGCCTCCTGGATCAACCCCGACACCAGAGGTACTGACCCCTGACCTCTGACCTCTGACATCTGTGCTGCTGTTTCTATTCATCATTCAGCCTGTTGAAATAATTACATAATTAAACAATACATCTCAGGATTTTTATTTTCTATAGATATTTTTTTTAGTCATTTGTTGAGACACAGACGAGACGAGTCTCAGTCGCTTGTGTCTCTGTGTTCAGACCAGTATCTGATCTTTGGAGCTGAGGAGGGAATTTACACCCTGAACCTGAACGAGCTGCATGAGAACTGTATGGAGCAGGTGAGACACGCTACTGTTTCTACACCTGATCTGCCTGACCCTTGACCCCTAACCCACCTGACCAGCCTGATCCTGGATCATGTGTGATCCTGTATCTTCTTCTCGGACAGAGATGAACATGACGTTCTCCTGTACGTTGTGTTCTTTTGAATGTTCCATTGACTCAACGGTTCCACGCTGTAGCCTCCAGTTTTCAGGACGTTGGTATCTGACCTTAGATCAGTGACTGAGACTTTTGTGTGTGCAGTTGTTTCCTCGCAGGTGTACCTGGGTTTATGTGATGAACAACACTCTGATCTCCATCTCAGGTGAGTCACACACACACGTGTTTACTGAATCACTGCTCCTCCCTCACTTAGCTCTCTGAACCCTGAGTCTCATCTGCAGGTAAAGCCTCTCAGCTGTCCTGCCACAGTCTGTGCGGTCTGTTCGAACAGGCTCGACACAAACAGAAGCTGCCAGTTTCCATCCCGACTCACCGCCTGCCGGACCGCATCCTGCCCCGGTCAGTTCACCCAACAAACATGCTAAAAACATGTAACACATGCACATGGTCTGGTGTCAGACAGGGGGTTAATGAAGTCAAATTATAAACAGCCAATAGTCAGTCCACATCCTGTAGTGGTCCTGCCCAGAACTGAAGAGACAGCTGGACTGTCTCTAGGTGGGGGGAGATGTTTCTTCTTCTTCAACTGTTTAACATGTAGGTTCCACCTTAAATCTATGCTTGACCAACTTAGGTCTGCTCTAGACTTCCTTAAATCTACTGTAGAATACCTTAAATCTACATTGGATCACCTTAAATCTACTGTTGACCTCCTTAAATCTATTATGTTCCTGTCCAAACCTGCAGAGGCAACTGGACTGTCTCTAGGTGGGGGGAGACGTTTTTTCTTCTTCAGCTGTTTAACATCTGTAGGTTCAGTCACACCTGGAGAGGTCACATGAGGCTCATTGGTCCACCTGCCATCATGTGACAGTGTGGTCATAAGCCTCATCCTGATCAGTCAGGACTGAGAACCAGCAGACAGCAGGAAGACACAGAGGACACCCAGAGACATGGAGCGATGGAGCACCAGCTGATTGGTCGTCTCAGACTCACAGCGTCTCCTTCTGTTTGTCTTCGTCTCCAGGAAGTTTTCCGTCTCTCAGAAGATTCCCGACACTAAGGGCTGTCTGAAAGGCTGCGTTGGTGAGTCACTCACTGTTTCCCATCATGCACCATTCTCACCTTAGTTTAATGTGTTTGGTCTCTGTCTCACAGTGAGTGTAGCTCACCTGTTCTGCAAGTAAGACTTTTGTAAGGTAGTTTATCTCACTTGAGACAGGTGTAGACAGGTGATATCTCAGGTGAACGTAGGGTGGAGACCATCAGATTTCAGCCCAGGACACTTGGACAGTGGTGACCTTTGACCCGTTCTTCCCTTTTCTCCCCATAGTGAGGAACCCCTACACAGGTCACAAGTACCTGGGAGGTGCCTTCCAATCAGGTGTAGTCCTGCTGGAGTGGGTGGAGCCCATGAAAAGGTTCATGCTAGTGAAGGTAAGACAGAAAACACGTGTGTGGTTGTCAGTGTCAGTGCCTTGCTCATGGACATGTTCACCTGAGGATCCTCCTGGACCCCTCCCCAGACAGACCTGGGCCCCCACCGGGACTAGGATTAACAGGAACAGATGTGTAGAGGTTGTAGAGGATGAAATGTTTAACACCAGCTGCTTCCTAAAAGATCAGGTGTGTCTTACCTGCCCCAAACTGACGTGGGTTATACCTGATCGTCAACCAGAGTGTCAGCAGTGACCCCTGCAGATGGACACGCAGCTCTACACCATGATCAGGATGAAGGTTTCTAACTCTTTATCTTCCCACCCTCACCAGAACGTGGACTTCCAGCCACCGTGTCCTCTGGAGGTTCTGGAACTGCTGGTCGTCCCGGAGCAGCCGTACCCTCTAATCTGCATCGGCCTCAGGAGGGGAACCGAACAGAACCAACCTGTCAGCTTCCAGACCCTCGACCCCAATTCACCCTGTCCCGCCCCCCCTGACTCAGGTACACCTCCTGATTCAGGTTCTCCTGACTCAGGTGCTCCTCCTGATTCAGGTTCTCCTCATGACTCAGGTTCTCCTGACTCAGGTTCTCCTCCTGATTCAGGTTCTCCTGATTCAAGTTCTCCTCCTGACTCAGATTTTCCTCTTGATTCAGGTTCTCCTCCTGATTCAGGTTCTCCTGACTCAGGTGCTCCTCCTGATTCAGGTTCTCCTCATGACTCAGGTTCTCCTGACTCAGGTTCTCCTCCTGATTCAGGTTCTCCTGATTCAAGTTCTCCTCCTGACTCAGATTTTCCTCTTGATTCAGGTTCTCCTCCTGATTCAGGTTCTCCTCATGACTCAGGTTCTCCTGACTCAGGTTCTCCTCCTGATTCAAGTTCTCCCCCTGACTCAGATTTTCCTGACTCAAGTTCTCCTCCTGACTCAGGTTTTTCTCCTGACTCAAGTTCTCCTCCTGAATCAGATTCTCCTCATGACTCAAGTTCTCCTCATGACTCAAGTTCTCCTCCTGATTCAGGTTCTCCTTCTGACTCAGGTTTTTCTCATGACTCAAGTTCTCCTCCTGACTCAGATTCTCCTCCTGACTCAGGTTCTCCTTCTGATTCAGGTTCTCCTCCTGACTCAGATTCTCCTCCTGACTCAGATTCTCCTCCTGACTCAGGTTCTCATCCTGTTTCAGGTTCTCCTCCTGACTCAGGTTCTCCTCCTGACTAAGATTCTCCTCCTGACTCAGGTTCTCCTCCTGATTCAGGTTCTCCTCCTGTTTCAGATTCTCCTCCTGACTCAGATTCTCCTCCTGACTCCGGTTCTCATCCTGTTTCAGGTTCTCCTCCTGACTCAGGTTCTCCTCCTGACTCAGGTTCTCCTCCTGATTCAAGGTCTCCTTACTCAGATTCTCCTCCTGACTCAGGTTCTCCTCCTGATTCAGGTTCTCCCCCTGACTCAGGTTCTCCTCCTGATTCAAGTTCTCCTGACTCAAGTTCTCCTCCAGATTCAGGTCCTCCTCCCAACTCAGGTTCTCCTCATGACTCAGGTTCTCCTGACTCAGGTTCTCCTCCTGATTCAAGTTCTCCTGACTCAAGTTCTCCTCCAGATTCAGGTCCTCCTCCCAACTCAGGTTCTCCTCATGACTCAGGTTCTCCTGACTCAGGTGCTCCTCCTGATTCAGGTTCTCCTGATTAAAGTTCTCCCCCTGACTCAGATTTTCCTATTGATTCAGGTTCTCCTCCTGATTCAGGTTCTCCTCATGATTCAGGTTCTCCTCATGATTCAGGTTCTCCTCGTGATTCAGGTTCTCCTGATTCAAGTTCTCCCCTGACTCAGATTTCCCTCTTGATTCAGGTTCTCCTCCTGATTCAGGTTCTCCTGACTCAAGTTCTCCTCCTGACTCAGATTCTCCTCCTGACTCAGATTTTCCGCCTGATTCAGGTTCTCCTGACTCAAGTTCTCCTCCTGACTCAGATTCTCCTCCTGACTCAGATTTTCCGCCTGATTCAGGTTCTCCTGACTCAAGTTCTCCTCCTGACTCAGATTCTCCTCCTGACTCAGATTTTCCTCCTGATTCAGGTTCTCCTGACTCAAGTTCTCCTTCTGACTCAGGTTTTTCTCCTGACTCAAGTTCTCCTCCTGATTCAGATTCTCCTCATGACTCAAGTTCTCCTCCTGACTCAGATTCTCCTCCTGATTCAGGTTCTCCTCCTGACTCAGATTCTCCTCCTGACTCAGGTTCTCCTCCTGATTCAGATTCTCCTCCTGACTCAGGGTCTCCTCCTGATTCAGGTTCTCCTCCTGACTCAGATTCTCCTCTTGACTCAGGTTTTTCTCAAGACTGAAGTTCTCCTCCTGACTCAGATTCTCCTCCTGACTCAGATTCTCCTCCTGACTCAGGTTCTCATCCTGTTTCAGGTTCTCCTCTTGACTCAGGTTCTCCTTCTGACTCAGGTTCTCCTCCTGACTCAGGTTCTCCTCATGACTCAGGTTCTCCTGACTCAGGTTCTCCTCCTGATTCAGGTTCTCCTCATGACTCAGGTTCTCCTGACTCAGGTGCTCCTCCTGATTCAGGTTCTCCTCATGACTCAGGTTCTCCTGACTCAGGTGCTCCTCCTGATTCAGGTTCTCCTGATTCAAGTTCTCCCCTGACTCAGATTTCCCTCTTGATTCAGGTTCTCCTCCTGATTCAGGTTCTCCTCCTGACTCAGATTCTCCTCCTGACTCAGATTCTCCTCCTGACTCAGGTTCTCATCCTGATTCAGGTTCTCCTCCTGAGTCAGATTCTCCTCCTGATTCAGGTTCTCCTCCTGACTCAGATTCTCCTCCTGACTCAGATTTTCCTCCTGATTCAGGTTCTCCTGACTCAAGTTCTCCTTCTGACTCAGGTTTTTCTCCTGACTCAAGTTCTCCTCCTGATTCAGATTCTCCTCATGACTCAAGTTCTCCTCCTGACTCAGATTCTCCTCCTGATTCAGGTTCTCCTCCTGACTCAGATTCTCCTCCTGACTCAGGTTCTCCTCCTGATTCAGATTCTCCTCCTGACTCAGGGTCTCCTCCTGATTCAGGTTCTCCTCATGACTCAAGTTCTCCGCATGACTCAAGTTCTCCTCATGACTCAAGTTCTCCTCCTGACTCGTTCTCCTCCTGACTCAGGTTTTTCTCCTGACTTAAGCTCTCCTCCTGATTCAGGTTCTCCTCCTGACTCAGGTTTTTCTCATGACTCAAGTTCTCCTCCTGACTCAGGTTCTCCTCCTGACTCAGATTCTCCTCCTGACTCAAGTTCTCCTCCTGACTCAGGTTCTCCTCCTGATTCAGGTTCTCCTCCTGACTCAGATTCTCCTCTTGACTCAGGTTTTTCTCAAGACTGAAGTTCTCCTCCTGACTCAGATTCTCCTCCTGACTCAGATTCTCCTCCTGACTCAGGTTCTCATCCTGTTTCAGGTTCTCCTCTTGACTCAGGTTCTCCTTCTGACTCAGGTTCTCCTCCTGACTCAGGTTCTCCTCCTGAGTGTATACGTCTGAAAGTGTTGTGTCGTTGCAGAGAACCCTCAGACTTGTGTGATCCATGTTAGTCAGCTGGAGACAGACACCGTCCTGGTCTGTCTGGACCGTAAGTTCATGGAACCAGATGATTTAAAAAAAAACTGAATATAAACATGTAATTATTTTAATGATTGAAGTTTTATTTTGAAGGATTTCACAGTGTGTCAGAGATGACCTGAGACCTGTGTTTGTACTTCCTGCAGGTTGTATAAAAATTGTGAATCTCCAGGGAAAGCTGAAGTCCAGCAAGAAGCTGTCAGCTGAGCTCACCTTCAACTTCCAGATTGAATCAATTGGTAAACCACCTTAAATCTGCTGTAGACCACTTAAATTCACATTTGACCATCATAAATCTACATTGGACCACCTTAAATCTACTGTAGACCACCTTAAATCTATGTTTGACCACCTTAAATCTACTGTAGACCACCTTAAACCACCTGAACCTGTCTCCAGGTGCGTTGTGTGCTGACCTTAGTCTCCTCCTCAGTGTGTTTACAGGACAGTGTTTTGGCTTTCTGGAGACATGGCATGCAGGGGCGGAGCTTCAGATCTAAGGAGGTAATTACCGTCCAATCAGAGAGCAGGGACCTGGCCACCTTGTTGCTGTGTCATCATGTCCTTTTTTTTCTGCAGATCACTCAGGAGATCAACGACATCAGCAGGATGTTCCGTCTGCTGGGCTCCGACAGGTGACTGTTTCCCTTTCTGTTCACCTGTCTGTCTGCTCACCTTGCTGCTCACCTGTCTGTCTGCTCACCTGTCTGTCTGCTCACCTGTCTGCTGCAGGGTGGTGGTTCTGGAGAGCAGAGCGACAGATAATCCAACTGAGCACAGTAACCTGTACATCCTCGCCGGACACGAGAACAGCTACTGAGACATGAAAGAGACCAGGACCAAACCACTATCAAACCAGGACCGAACCAGGACTAAAAAAGGACCAAGTCAGGACCAAAGCAAGACCAAAGCAGGACCGAACCAGGACTGAACCAGGACCAAACCATTATCAAACCAGGACCGAACCAGGACTGAACCAGGACCAAAGCAGTGCCAAACCATGTCCTAAATTCTGAACCAGAACTGTTCCAGTTATAAGTCTGGTCTTGTATGACTGTGGTTCAGAACCAGAATCTGTTCCCCTGCCTTAATGTCATTTAGAGAACCAGACCAGCAGTGGATCCGGTTTGAAGACCCTGTGAGAACTGAGACAATGGTGTTTCAGTCTGCGACACTACCTCCATGTCAAGGAACATGTTGTTCTTCACCCGACCACCAGGAGGCAGACATGCTGCAGGTCAGCTCATCATCATCATCAGATCTACAGTGTTTCAGGAAGTGACTTCAACACAACAGGAAGTGACTTCAGATCCTTGTGTCAGCAACTGTCTAAATATTAAGTTTGTTCTACACTGACGTGTAAATACTGTCAAATAAAGTCTTTTTATACTGTCACCTGTCTCCCTCTCTCTCTCTGTCTGTCTGTCTCTGTCTCTCTGTCATCTGTCTGTCTCTCTGTCTCTCCCTCTGTCACCTGTCTCCCTCTCTCTCTCTGTCTGTCTGTCTCTGTCTCTCTGTCTCTCTCTCTCTGTCTCTCTCTCCCTCTCTGCTCTCTCTCTGTCTCTCCCTCTCTGCTCTCTCTCTGTCTCTCTGTCTCTGTCTCCCTCTCTGTCTCCCTCTCTGTCTCTCTCTCCCTCTCTGCTCTCTCTCTGTCTCTCTCTCTGTCTCTCTGTCTCTCTCTCTCTGTCTCTCTCTGTCTCTCTCTCTCTCTGTCTCCCTCTCTGTCTCTCTCTCCCTCTCTGCTCTCTCTCTGTCTCTCTCTCCCTCTCTGCTCTCTCTCTGTCTCTCTCTCTCTGTCTCTCTCTGTCTCTCTCTCTGTCTCCCTCTCTGCTCTCTCTCTGTCACCTGTCTCCCTCTCTCTCTCTCTGTCTCTCTCTCCCTGTCATCTGTCTCTGTCTCCCTCTCTGTCTCTGTCCCTCTCTGCTCTCGCTCTGTCACCTGTCTCTCTCTCTGTCTCTGTCCCTGTATTTTCCAGATGTAGAGAAGTTCATTAAAAGTGTGACAACTCTGCAGAGAGTCGTCTGTGTGGATCTGTTAGATGATAAAAAACGTTTGATGCGTCTCAGAAAGGAGCTGAAGGCCAATAAAGGAAAAGGTTCAAAGAGACTCAAACTTCAGCAGTAAGGTCATGATGTGTGTGCTGCACTGGGTGAACTTCCTCTTACCGTCTCCCGTTCACATCTCAGTCTGGTATGCACTCGGTGAGGGTCGGCTCTTTGAATATTAACGGTGGGAGGGATCGACAGAGGAGGGCAGGCATCTCAGAGATGATCACACAGAAGAGGCGGGATGTTATTTACCTGCAGGAGACACACAGCGACAGAGAATGAGACAGACAGGTCTGTGGTGGAAGGGTCAGTACTTCCTGTCTCATGGGACCAACCTCTCTGCTGGTATGGCCGTCCTCTTTTCTCCAGGCCTGGACGTTCATGTCATCTCCACCACAGAGATGGTGACGGGCAGGGCTGCAGTGGTCAGAGCAGAAATACAGGACTTTTCTTTCTGCTTCATTAACATCATGCTCTGAATCAGGGCTCACACAGGCTGGACTCGATCCAGAAGTTAAAGGACTTCTTAGAACAGGGTGATCAGAGTGAATGTGTGGTGATGGGGGGAGAACAGGAGAGGAACCGCACCTGCAGTCATCTGTGATCTCAGAGTCAGGTGTAGTGGATGTGTGGAGGCTCAAACATCCTCAGGTCAGGCAGTACACATGGGTCAGAGTGTTGGATGGGAATGTGAGGGCAGCCAGGCTGGACAGGGTTTATGTGACACATGGTTTTAGCACCAGGTTACTGAACAGTCACATTTATCCAGTAGGTTTCACTGAGCATCATTTAGTCGCTTTTGATTTTCACATTTCACCAACCACTAGATGCAGCTCTCACTGGCGCTTTAACGTGCAGCTGCTTCAGGACCGAGCTTTCTGTCAGACTTTTGAGACTTCCTGATTAAAAACTTCTTATAAAAGTGCTCACCAACAAACTGAAACACTTTATGGAATTAATAATTACCAGTCGTACTGTACCGGACAGATCCATCATGGACGATCTCGCTCTCACCAGAGACTTACTGGACATCTGTAAACTGTACAATATTGATGTGGGGATTGTTTCACTGGATCCGGAGAAGGCTTTTGATAGGGTTGGTTTTTGCTTTTGGTTTTGTGTCACTGTTTGTTGTATAAGGAAGCTTTTTGTTTGGTGAAGGTGGGTGGTGGGCTGAGCTGTCCAGTACAGGTTCAGAGGGGCATCAGACAGGGATGTCCTATTTCTGGACAGCTGTACTCATTAGCAATTGAGCCACGTCTGACCAGGTTACGATCTAAGCTGCCAGGAATCACGTTACCAGGGTTGTCTCAGCGCCCCTCGCTGGTGGTTTCTGCTTATGCTGATGACATCAATGTATTTGTTAGAAACCAGAGGGATGTGGACTTCTTGTCAAGCAGTTTAAGTCTGTATGAAAGGGCATCATCGGCAAAGGTGAACTGGGGAAAAAAGTGAGGCTTTGGAGGTTGGGCAGTGGGCAGACGAGGAAACACCAAAGTTACCAGGAAATCTCAGCTGGGGAAAAAACAGGGCATGAAAATTCTGCATGTTTTTCTTGGAACTGAAGAGTTTCAGAGGAAGAACTGGGAGGGTGTTATGGAGAGAGTGTGTGCCAGACTGTCTAAATGGAAATGGCTGCTACCTCAGCTTTCCTACAGGGGAAGAGTCCTGATTGTCAACCCTTTGGCACAGACTGAAAGTCTTACCTCTATCACAGGGCCTGATTGAAGCGATTCAGAGGAAAGTTGTGGATTTCTTCTGGTCAGGGCATCACCAGCTGAGGGCAGCGGTGCTGTACCTGCCAGTACAGGAAGGAGGACAGGGTCTGGTGGATATGGCATCATGTATCGCAGCCTTCAGGCTGCAGGCAGTTCAGAGACTGCTTTACAGCTTTGGCCTGACATGGATGGATACTGCTTGTTTGCTGTTGAGGAGAGCTGGATGCTTAGGTTATGACTAACACTTGTTTCTGCTTCAGGCCCAGTCCGTGGATTTAACTGGTTTGACACCATTTTACCAGTCTGTCTTACAGGTGTGGCAGGTTCTAGCATTTCATCGGAGCGCTGTGATGACGCCAGGGAAGTGGCCGTTCGAGGAGACCCTGTTTTCGGCAACAGTTTGATCACCTCTGAAGTTCTGTTCTCTGTCAGCCTGAGATCCAGACTGAGAGAGTCTGGCTGTGTGAAGATGGGTCACCTCACGAAGACCTCCATCCCTCGCTTAACTGAAGTGCTCAACATCAGATCCAACAATGTGCTGCTCAGGCTGGTGGAGGAGGTCAGTGTGTCCCTGCCAGAGGTCTTCAGAGTGTTTGCTAAAGGCCGTACTCTATCTGACCAATGGGACAATGAGTGTGAGTACATCTTTCCTTCACTGGCTGAGGAAGACATCCTGCTGTCTCTGAAGTCCCCAGAGTTGGGAGACTTAGAGACTCTGGGAAAGAAAGCAGCCTATCAGATCAGCGTGAAGGTGTCAAACTTGTGCAGGCAGGGGTAAAGGTGTTGAGGTGCAGAGTTTTTCGGCAGGGGCTCTTCCCCGGGGGGCTGTTGACGGTCCCTGTAGAAAGCCACCGTTGACAAACGGACAGGTGACCTCCAGTGGAGGAATGTACATGAAGCTATAGCTACAAACAGGTATCTGACGTTACAGCATCTGTTTGTCCAGTGTCCCAGACTGGCTGGACTCTTCAGACACCTGCAGGTTGGGTTCAGGGCTTAGGAGAGCAGTCTGTTTATTTATGGTCCACACTACTCTGCAAACAGGAAATCTGTACATGCACTAGTAAATTTCATTTCAGGACCGTCCAAATTAGCCATTTGGAAAACCAGGAAGAACCGTGTGAGGGGTCAAGGGTCAGAGGACATGGCTCTGATGCTGACTGGGCTGCTGGCAACTCGGCTCAGGGTGGAGTTTAAGTTTTACAGACTGACAAAAAAGACAGAGGTGTTTGTTAACGTCTGGGGAGTGCAGGATGTGCTCAGTGAGACAGAACTTATTGGTTCTGAATTTTTCATTATTTTATTTATTTATTTTCCTTTGTTATTTTATTTGTTTAGTTTTTGGTACTTGCTTTTAAACATGATTTTTTTCTTTGTTGTAATTTTTGATAACAGCAAAACGTGGAATTAACTAGAAATAAAGGTCTGTTTTAAAAATCCAAATCTCTCTCTCTACAGTCATATTCAATCAACAGAGCTGAAGATAAATCTGAGGAACATCATCATGACCTCATCAGGTGGACAGACTGAATATTATTATATTCTTTCTCTTCTCGTAACTGTTTTATAACGTGTTCAGTTTGTAATGATTAAAAACTTGATGATGATTAAATGAATAATTGATTTACTTATTTACAATTTATCTTCGGTCTGACTTTCATCACTAATTATTTCTACTCTTTCTTTTCTAGTTGTTTACAAACATTGAAATATACAATAATATGTGTGCTCCACTGAGTGAAGAGTAATGACAGTGAAATAAATGTAACAATAATAATATAGTCTCTGGATTGCATAATAAATCCTTTTGTTAGTCTACATTAGTTTGTTTACATTTCACATTTGTACATTACATTTGTGATCAGGACTGAGTCGGGTTCAGTTAAACCAGATCACAGGAAGTGATCCTGCATATCTTGAACCCTCATCATCGATCCTTCATCGTGTTTGTTTAGAGAGCAACAGGAACTACAGGCTCTTATTTTGAAGCGGTCGGAGGGCGCCGACCACGGGAAGTAGCGAAGAAGAAGCAGACTTGTTGTGGTTGACGGTGTCAGCAGCAGCGGACTCACCTGGCGGACAGGTGCGACCTCAGCCCGGTGAGACAAACAGCCCGTGATGAACCTAATAGACGTGTGTTGTACTTAGACCTGGACCCAGTTTTGGACCCGGTTCAGGGACCCGCGTTAACCGTTGATGCTGTGCATAGGTAGCTCCGTGCTAACTGTGCTAAGTCCACCGTGCTAACTAATCCCGGTCCAGTTCTGGTCCCTGTGATGTCGGAACCGGGTCCTCTGCAGTCTCTTGTTAGACCAGCTGGGCCTCTGTTCAAACCGATCCGGGCTGAAGCGGATCAGCAGCCTGTGTCGGTGTGTTTGGACACGGTCCCGCGGTGACCTACTTTCCAGATTCCGGGGCCCAGACAGAGACCTGGACCTGGACCGGTGTACAGGACCGAAACGGTTTTTTAAATTATATCTGTAGACGCAGTGATCCGGATCAGTCCGGACTCAGAAACGTGTTAAACACTTGGACCAAGACTCGGAGTTTTTATCGTTTCATTTCCGTCATTGAGCCACAATCAGGTCTCTCAGATCCGGTTTATAAAATAAGAGTCCAGAATCTGTATTCAGGAAGTCCAACAAATTTTCAAATTAAAAGAATCCCAATCATAACCTGAGTCTGATAATAAAACAAAGAGCTGATCAGGTTATTAATGATGATGAGGACAAATCGATAATCAAACACAAACTGATCAGAAAATGATCAATGATCAATTTAAAAAGTGATGGACCCACTTCCTGTTTCTGTCTCCGTGAACTGGTTCATGAAGGACTGATCCTGCAGGGTCAGGACCAGATCTGGGTTCTGAGTCCCTCGTTTAGTTTATGAAACAGTCCTCGCTGCGATTGATGATATAGATTATTGATCTGTGAATCAGCTGATCAGCTCAGGCTATGTTACCCCTCTGTCTCTGTAGGACTAATCCAAAGTGCAGTGAACGCCCCCTGCAGGTCAAAGGTCGACTCCTCCCCCAGCGGTCATGGCCCTGATCTCTCTGGAAGACCTCGACGGATTGGACGACGAGCAACTGGACGATGACATCACCGACAACCCAGAGCCAATGGATGAAGACGACCGACTGCTGAGTCACTGGCAGGCTGTCGCCAGCACCCACCAGGTGTCAGTACCTCCAGGTGAGGGGGCGGGACTACTGATACACCTGTGTATTATAAGACCTGATCAGGTATTGATCAGTGCTTCTTCCGTAAACACAGTCAGTTTAAAATGACTCAGTCCTGGGTTCAGACTCGGTCCAGCAGAGTCCAGACTGTACGGGTCTGAAGTGGTCTGATGTGGTCTGGTGTTGGTCGTCACTCAGCTGGAATCTGTGTTTGTTACAGACATGACCGGACCCATACAGGAAATGACCCGCAACAGCCAGCAGAGGGAGCCCCTCCCCTTCGCGCCAATATCCCGCCATGAGAAGGTAAGACCAGTAGACCACATGTAAACAGCTGCCCCCCCTCAGATGGGGGAGGAGCTGTGAGTGTCTGTACAGATGGGTGTGGTCTCTCTCCCTCAGATGGGGGAGGAGCTGTATGAGGAGCGGGTGTACGCAGCAGGACACTGGGCCTGTGTGACCAGAGGCGAGGATCTGTACGAGCAGAGCATCTCTATGGGCTTCATGAAACTGATGCGCTTCATCTGTAAAGAGAACTCCGCAGGTCAGACCCCGCCCCCAACACACACCTCAGCAATACAGCAATACAACAACAATAACAGTATTATTAATTACAGCATTAATGATAATCAAAGTATTATTCATAATAACGAAGAATTAAGACTGAAGACAAACTTTTTCTCTGATCCTTCACTTCCTGTTGGAACCTGTGATCAGTATTGATTATTGTGTATTGATCGTGTATAGGTAAATACCTGGGAATGACGGTGCCTGTGGTCAGTAACATTCACATGATGGAGGACGGAACCACGTTTAAGAAAGATGTCCAGACTTCGTTCTTCCTGCCCACTGACTTTCAGACCAACCCCCCCCAACCCTACGACTCCGACATCACCATCGTCTACAGAGAGCCAATCAGAGTCGTCACCAGGTCAGTTTTTTATCAGACGGATCATCATTATCTTCATTGGTTCCTGAGGATGAAAAATGTCAGTTTAACCTGCAGAATCTTAAGTTTATTTCACTGATCATCATTAATCTGAACCAGTAATCAACAAAACAAACATGAGGTCCATGTTGAAGTTTACCTCAGCAGCTTTGTTAAAGAGGACTAAATGGATGAAATGGATTAAAGTCTGGATTAAACTGATGAGGTTTATGGTCAGTTCAGTATTTTAACATTCACACTTTGATCTGAACGCAGCTTTAGTTCTGGAGCTGAAACAAGCGATCAATTCATCGATTAGTAGATCGACAGAAAACTTATCAGCAGCTTTGTTTCTCCTGCACTAGCGGTCATCAGACAGGTGTGTCAAAATGTCTGCTCTCTGATTGGCTGACAGGACATTCCTGGGGACGACCACGGAGGAGACGGTGACACGTCAGATCAGTCTGCTGTGGGAGATCCTCGGCGCCACCGACGACCTCTGCAGAGACAACTACATGGTCGCTGTGTACGAGAACCCTGGTGTACCTCGCCGCAGGAACGAGATCTGGTTCATCAGACGCAACCTGTAGATGCCTTCCTCTGCTCCGCCTCCTCATCCTCCTCTGATTGGCTGGTTTGTTGTGTACACACTTCCCATAGCCGAGTTAATTTTTTTTAATGTCAAACTGACCAATCAGAGCAGGTTTATGCTTGTTAGCTGGTCCTGACACTATGCTCCGCTCCTCACCCCCTCCCATCCAATCAGAACGGCTTTCTCTGACTAACTGACAGCCCATTGGTTCACACTTTCAGATGTTCCTGTGTCACTTCCTGTCACATGTACAGTCGGTGTGTAGAATAGAATCAGGACAGTTAGAGGTGGTACATCACCATCATATCAGAAGAAGCAGAAGCTATGACATCATCTTGGGAAAGCAGGAAGTTACAACTCCACTCAGACCAATCAGCTGAGTTCAGTCTGGTGTCAGTTGCAGAGATGTGGATGAAAGGGCACAATCTCAGTTTAGTTCCAGTCTGTGTCAAAGCGTGATCATCTGAACACGTGACAGAGACGACGTCGTCCTTCTATGTTCATCTGAACACGTGACAAGAATAAAAATTAATCTGCCCTTCAATCTGCAGGTGTGACAGTGACGATCCTGCAGACCCGAACCAGGTCTGGAGTTTGGACCTGGTTCAGGTCTAGAGTTCAGACCAGATGGAGGTTTGTGTCATAATGAACGTTGGTTTACAATAAAAAGGACAGTGAATATTTTTGTAACTTTTTCATCATCAGTCAGATCTGATGCTGGTTTTAGATTCTGGTCCTGTGAAGGTTTTAAACGGTGAAGAGGTTTCACTCTGACAGATATATGTTGATTTGTGGTGACGGCCCTCCACATGTTCAGGCAGGTGACTCCATGTTCACATATGACCTGCATGTTAATGTGACTTTGACAAAGTGGTTTTAACCCTGCAGCTCTTCTACACTTTATTTTCTGAATATTTGATGTGAAATCATTAAAGAATCGACCAAACAGTTTGTGACTCTTGGTGCCTGTTAGTTCTTCTGTTGGACAAATGTACTTCATTTTTATTGTGAAACTTTTTTCCTTCTATTTCAACATTTGTGTATAAAATATTCAAATAAAATCTGATGTAAAAGTAACGTTATGTGATAGTTTCTGAATGACTTTAGATCCTGACTTTAAATGAACCAGCTGGTTCAGACTCTGGTACATTGGTGAAAATATTAACTGACTTCAAACTGAACCTGATGAGACGTCAGCGATAAACGCTAAAACTCCTGAACCAAAACAACTTTATTTACAAAAACAAATCTGGAGTATTACAATCGTTTTCACCCCAACAGTCGCATTAAGAAAAACACTCTAAAACTATTAAGAAAAAAATAAAAAAGACAGAAAATAACAGGTCAGAGGGGTAGGCCTCTGGTGTGATGTCATCCAGGTAAGATCAGATCAGGTCGGCCACTGCAGAGGGAAAACAAACACGTCAGTGTGGAAACAGCCAATCACAGGAAAACTTGGCGCTAGCTTGTTATATTAGCTAACATGCTAACTCCATGTATTAGTGTTTAGAAAGCAGCTGGAAACAAGAAGTGTTTTCATTTCTGCTTGAAAAATGGAAATAAATTAATATTTATACATTTATAAATATTTGTGGACTCATCGTTTCTGCTTCAGTTGTAAACATGATAAAACAGACTCTGGACAACCGTGAGCTATGCTAACACATCAGCTGATTGAGCTAACAGCCTCTTGCGTTTCCACGGTAACTGTTGCATCACTGATTCTGCTCATCTGGTTCAGCAGACACTGCAGGGACTACTTTCTGAGGAGTGATGCGTGGTGTTTAACAACTTGTGTTTTTCTCTAAATTAACAGATCAGAATTATTGATTTCTCTCTGCTGTGATGTCATCATCAGCACAGGTAACAAGTGCTCTGATTGGCTGGCAGCAGCCCGTCTATGATTGGCCGACTCGTACCGTTCATGGGCATCTCGTCGATCTGGGTGGAGTAGTACTGCTCGATGTCTCTCAGGATCCTGATGTCGTCGTTCTTCACAAAGTTAATGGCCACGCCTTTACGACCATAACGACCAGATCGACCAATCCTGGAGGAGGTCAGGTCATCACAGGTCATTAGGGGCGAGTTAGATTCACTTAATGACAAAGACATCAACAATCTCCAATACACACACTAATAAAACTGACAGATGCCCCCTGCTGGCCATCCAATGGAAATGGCTTCAAAAGAAGCTCATCAACTACATGCTACAGGCAGAGTACATAAACTTAACAGTGGTAACAAATGCACAAGGCCTTTGTTTCCGCTGTAGCAAGTCAGGACACCTTGCTAATGATTGTTGGTGCAAAGATATGAACTGTAACAATTGTGGGGAAAAAAGGCCGTGTAGAGCGGCTCACAGTCAGGAAATAAAAGTGACACTTCAAAATACAAAAAGAAAAGACATGATGGCACAGTTAAGAGCGATCCCTCAGAGGAAGAAGTGTCGGCCGCAGTAAATACTGTGCAGATAATCAATTTGGATGAAAGCTCAGGGCTTTTGGGCTAGACCCAAACTGGAAGGACATTCTGTAAAAATGCAGATAGACACAGGTTCAAGAGCATCACTAGTGTCATATGACATTTACAGAACATCGAGTGCCCATGAAAGGATGACAGAGGTGACTGTTCAGTGCAATGGCCAAACTGCTAAGCTCCCAATTTATTTTACCAAAAAAAAATATCCTAGTATAATGGGGCGTGTGTGGCTAAAGAAAATCCGTCTTGACTAGCAAGAAGTAAGGAAGCTGTCACACAGTTCCACGACGCTGCAGGCCTTACTGGAAAAGCTCTAAGAGGTTTTTCATGGAGAGTTAGGCAGCATGTACAAAATGAGAGTGAAGCTGAACGTGAAACCTGGTGTTGAACCAGTGTTTATTAAGGCCAGACCAGTGCCATACGCCATCCGACCCAAGGTGGAGGCTGACTGGACGCTCTGGTCAAGAATGGCCACACCCATCATTCCAGTACCAAAACAGGACGGGGGAATCCGGACCTGTGGGGACTGTAAGGAAACACTAAATCCTGTACAAACAGCGGAGCAGTATCCCCTTCCCCTGATTGACGACTTATTTACTGAGCTGAGTGGGGGACAAAAGTTCAGCAAAATTGATCTCAACCAGGCTTACTTACAAACACATGTCGAAGAGCAGTCACGTGAAATGCTGCCTATCAATATGCATAAAGGACGTTTCAGATACTGCAGACTGCCTTTTGGGATCGCATCAGCTCCAGCGCTGTTCCAGCGAGCTATGGATCCGATACCTTCCAGGAGCGCAGTGCTACCTGGATGATATCCTGTGCACCGGAGCAGATGATGAAGGGCGTCTGTGCAACTTGGATGCAACTCTTCAGAGACTGAAGGAATATGGGTTGAGAATGCATAAGGAAAAATGTGAGTTTTTCCAGTCATCTGTGGAATACTTGGGTCACGTGATTGATGCTAAAGGTCTACACACTGCACCATCGAAGATCACAGCCATCGTGGACACACCTCCACCCCAAAATGTCAGTCAGCTAAAGTCTTTCTTAGGACTGTTGAACTATTATGGACATTTCATACCCAACTTGGCATCACTACTTAAACCGCTGACTACATCAGATGTTCTAACCCACTTCAACCCATCTCTCCCAATTCAGCTTGCCTGCGACACCTCTCCTTATGGTGTAGGGGCGGTGATTTTCCCACATACTGCCAGACGGTGAGGAGAAGCCAAATGCTTTTGCGTCAAGAACATTAAACAAGGCAGAGACTAAAAATGCTCAGCTGGAACGAGAGGCTCAGAGCATTGTGTGTTTCACCAGTACTTGTATGGAGGGAAGTTTACACACCTAACTGACCACCGACCTCTCACGACCATCCTTGGACCATACACGGGAACACAATCTCTTGCTGCATCCCGACTACAGAGGTGAGCGTTGCTGTTGTCAGGACACTCATATGACATCAAGTATCACAAGTCAGACTCTCACTGCAATGCAGATGCATTATCCAGATTACCACTTCCTGTCACAAAGCCAGAGTCGAACACTGGACATTTTCTACTTCGGGGAGGTAGAAAAAGCACCTGTTTCAGCTGTGCAGATAAAAGAGGAGACCAGAAATGACCCTGTGTTGTCTGCGCTCATAGACTTGCTCGTTAAAGGTCACCCTGAAGGTGATGACGCAAACTTGAAGCCCTTCCTTGGAAAGCAGGCACAACTGTCTGTTCAGTCAGGATGTTTGCTGTGGGGGAGGAGAGGGATTATCCCCCTGTCATTCCAAACAAAAGTGTTACAGCAACTTCTTGCAGGACACAGTGGAATAGTGAGAATGAAGGAAATAGCGAGAAGCTATTTTTGGTGGCCAAACAGATCGAAGAGATAGCTAAAAGCTGTCCATCTTGTCACAAGGTCCGAGACAACCCACCACTAGCTCCTCTCCATCCCTTGGAGTTCCTACAGGAGCCATGGCATCGTGTGCACATTGATTTTGAAGGTCCATTTGAGGACAGAATGTTTCTTGTCGCTGCGCACAGTAAATGACCTGAAGTGGCTATCATGAGGTCAACCACCACAGAGAAGACCATAGAGGTATTAGGAGAAATGTTCAGTCGCTTCAGATCTCCTACACAGCTAGTCTCTGACAATGGACCTTAGCTGGTTTCACAGGAAATGGATGATTTTCTGCAAGCTAATGGAGTGCAACACATTAAATCAGCTCCATACCATCCTGCCACAAACAGCATTGCGGAAAGGTTTGTCCAGACAATGAAACATGCACTGAAAGCATCACAAGGACAAGGAACCCTGCATCAGAAACTGCACAATTTTCTGCTAAACTGCCGCAACAGCCCACATGCAACCACAAAGACATATCCTGCCAGTCTGATGTTTAAGAGAGATCTGCGCACCACCTTTGATCTCTTGAAACCCTCAGGAATGAAGGACATTGTGCAAAAGCTACAAGAAAAACAAATTATGAACAGAGAACATCAGGCTAAGGACAGAGTTTTCACTCCAGGAGAATCTGTGCTGGCCAGGAACTACAGAGGCGAATCTAATTTGGTTCCTGCGACTGTTAATGCACAAACTGGACCAGTCTCATATGCATTTCAAACCACTGATTGTGTTTGGAGAAGGCACGTGGATCAACTCCTACAGACCCCACCAGCGCCTGCAGAACTGTCTCTTGGAGATCCTAAAGATGCACTAATCAACTCACCGGTTCATCCACCTACACAAGTACAGAACTCAACCACATAAGAGACAAAGGTTCCAGACGCAGATGTGACTGGAAAAGAGACCGAGGCACCTTCTTTTGCATCTGCACCCGAAGCAAACTCTCCATTAGAGAACACAAAGACTGATGTTTCTGCAAACCGCCGATACCCCACCAGAGAGCGGCGGCCTCCTGTTCATCTGAGTTATTAAGATTGTTAGTGTTGTGTTATAGTGAAGACAAAAGAATTTGAGTAGACACTTGTTATTTTCTGTAGGACATCCATTGTAAGAGGGGAGGAGATGTTGTGTATTTTGGGTTACTATGAGATCCATAGTGGGGATCACCAAATGCATTATGGGTAACCTTCAGCCTCAAGTTGTTGTTATTAGGCATGTGCTATGAAGTTGTGTTGCTGTGCTAATAAACAGTTAACGTTACGTCGTGGTCCGGGTTATCGTTGTTATATTAAGTAATGTGAAACAGTGAAAGATATGGCACACACACACACACACACACACACACACACACACACACACACACACACACACACACTTGTTATTGTATTTATTCAGCAGCTTTATTGATCCATTCCTGAAAGAATCACTTTGACTTCTATTATCATAATGACAGTGATTTGTTAATTCTCCTTACTGTGGGAACTATTTTCTGTGGAGTGATACATGTTGAAGGTAGTGCTGTGTACCTGTGGATGTAGAGCTCTCTGTTGTTGGGCAGGTCGTAGTTGATGATCAGAGAAACTTGAGGAACGTCCAAACCTCGAGCCCAGACATCAGTGGAGATCAACACACGACTAGAACACAGAGGAGGTCATCTGTCAATCATCTACAGCTGTCAATCATGTTGACTTTCTTATTTATGTAAGTGTATGATTTATGAAAACAGAAATGAGCAGATAATTAACATCAATACTTGAGTCTGAGCTCAGAGGAAACAAACAAAAAGAAATAAAAATAAAAGCTGAGAGCAAACATTAATAAAGTAGACCAGCTGCTGTAGATTCGTCTGACTTAATGAATGAATAAACATCATCTACACAGAGGGACATCTGTCTGCTCCAGGTCCAGGTGTGTGAGTGTTACCTGGCTCCTGATCTGAACTCCTTCATGATGGACTCCCTCTCTTTCTGAGGCATGTCTCCGTGCATCGACGACACCGTGAAGTTGGCCTCCCTCATCTTCTCCGTCAGCCAGTCCACCTGAAACACACAGAGACTCAGTGTCCTACAAGGCTTTGCTGACACACAAGAGACTAAACCCCGAGTGTGTGTGTGTGTATGTGTGTGTGTGTGTGTGTGTGTGTCTCTGACCTTCCTCTTGGTGTTACAGAAGATCACGGCCTGTGTGATGGTCAGAGTGTCGTACAGGTCACACAGAGTGTCAAACTTCCACTCCTCTCTCTCCACGGCCACAAAGAACTGCTTGATCCCCTCCAGGGTCAGCTCGTCACTGAGGGGGAGAGACAGTCACCCACACAGGGGTGGGGGGGCACTTCAGTACTGTGCTGACGTGTCTGACTGATCTGGGTTCAGGTCTCGGTGCAGTTCTGAGTTTAGAACCTTAAACTGAACTAAATGTTCTGTCGGCTGATCGACGTGTGTGTGTGTGTGTGTTTCGTTCTGTACGTGAAACTGGCGGGGCAAAATACATTCAATATTAATTCAATACTACAAATAATAAGTTACAACATTAATGGGAAACCAAGTCAAATCAGATCAGTGATCAATCTGATGATCGTGGATCATTAGATTGATCACTGAGATGGTTGTCCATCGACACACAGAGGTTCTGCACTGACCGTTTGACCAGGATCCGGATCGGGTCTGTCATGAACTTGTTGGTCATCTCCAGGATCTCGTGTGGCAGCGTGGCGCTGATCAGAACCACCTGTGTGGCCGGGGGCAGGTAACGGTACACGTCGTAGATCTGCTCCTTAAAACCTGAAACATCAAAAACAACACTGACGTTGAAGGAGGACGAGTGAGGGTCCATCAGGTTCCATCAGGTTCCATCAAGTTCTCCACAGTGTGTGTGATGTTTTAATCAGAACTTGTTGAACTGTTCCGTCTGGATGTAGATCAGAACACAGAGAGTCTCAGACCAGGACTCATGTCCCTGCTGACATCACAGCTTTGTCCAGGTGTGTCAGTCTCAGGTGAGTGTCTTGCACATGCTCAGTCTCACCTTTGTTGAGCATCTCATCAGCCTCGTCCAGAACCAGCATCTTGATGGCTCTTGTCCTCAGACTCCTGCGACGAATCATATCTGCAGGACAGACGATGTTAACGTCCTATTGGTTGCTTCAGTCACAGGCTGACCAATCAGGATCCAGATAGGAGACAGATGATTTGACTCACCGAACACTCGTCCAGGTGTCCCCGCCACCACGTGCTGACCGTAGTCCAGCTTCCTGATGTCCTCACCCACGTTGGTCCCTCCGATGCAGGCGTGACACTGAACGTTCATGTAGTCTCCCAGAGCAAGCAGCACCTGGACACAAGACAGAGAACCAATCAGTGACCGGGACACATCGCCATGTGACACCTGCTGACACGTGACTGGGTGGGTGTGTCTGCGTGGGCGGGGCTACCTTCTGAATCTGTCCTGCCAACTCTCTGGTGGGAGCGAGGATCAGAGCCTGGGTCTCCCTCACCTGCAGACAGGAAACACATCACAGCATGATGTCATCAGCTCAGGGTCAAAGGTCATTTTACATCTTAAACAGCAGCATCATTCTGGAGCTTTCAGTCACATTACATGAGCTTCACATGATTACAATCTGAAATCTTGAACATGTTTTAACATCTCAACACTTTATTTATGATCAGACTCATTTTGTTTCTTCAGAGCGGCCATTTTGAATTTCACAGCACGTTTCTGTGTGACGCACAAATTAAACCTTTGGCCCTGGTAGTCCCACCTGTGGAGCTGAGAGTCGGACTCACCTGGATGTCCAGGCACTGCAGCACTGATACACAGAAGGTGGCCGTCTTTCCTGTTCCAGACTGAGACCTGCACAGACCAGAGACCAGCAGTTAGAGAAGACTCAGAGCGGGACCACCACAGTTCTGGGGTCAGTTTTTAAAGGTCTTACTGTGCGATGACGTCTCTGCCTTTGATGATCTGTTTGATGGCTCTCTGCTGGATCGCAGACGGTTTCTCAAAACCTGAAACACAAAACATCCAGTCACATGAAACATCTGCTTAGAGGAGAGCACAGCTGGACAGCATTCAAACATAAACCTGTCCAGGGTCTGGTCCAGGTGTCTCCAACTCTGTATCCTTTAAGTTTTATTCCAGAGTTTTATAACACAAAGAGAGAGACAGACATAGAGAGAGACAGACAGAGAGAGAGAGAGACAGACAGAGAGACAGACAGAGACAGACAGACGGACAGAGAGAGACAGACAGACAGAGAGGGTTGGTATGGCACACAGGGTTGGACTCGAACCCAGGCCGCTGCAGTTAGGATTACGCCTCCATGCCCCACCGCCACTCCTATGCTTGTGTCCACTGGAAACACTTCCATTGTATTGTAGGACTGAATTTCAACACGTTTGTGTATTTACATGTGTTGTCAAATTAATGAAAATGTTTTCTGAACTTACAGACTGTTGGTCTGTTTTCTGAGGTTCAGTGCATTGAGCTCAGGGCCACCGTAGGTATTGCCCGTCTTGGGATAAATAAGGTCTGAATCTGAAACAGTCTGGAGCTGATTCATAGCTAGTCACTTCCTGACTTCAGGTCTTATGCCGGCAGAAGAATAACAGCTCTGCGGTGAAGCAGTAAAGGCTAATGCTAACCGGAGAGCGGGAGACCGTGAAAACACCGTGAACAATGTAAACACTTTAAAGTCAGTCCTATATGTCTGAATCTAAATAAACTGTGAACACAGTGAAATTATCACGTTAATTCACCGCGGTGATTAAAATTTTGCTTTAGCATCCTGAGCTAACTCTTCCCCGAGGCCTCCGGATCCTCGGCCTACCGTAAGCGTAGATGCCGCGGAGCAGGTCCTCTCGGAGTCCCATGGTGTCGAAGGTAGGGGTCACATCTACCTCCTCGCTAGTCTCGAACTCCACCTTGGTCATGTCCTCCTCCTTCAGGAGCCTCTTCCTGCCCTGCGTCCCGGTGGCAGCCATCGTCCTCTGAGCGTTTTATTCGACCTGAACTCACCGAGTCCGGAGAAAGACTTCAACCGTCTGCACTGCGCGGCTAACGGCTAACACGGGGAGAGAGGCTGCCGCATGTGTCGCGCTGCTGACGTATTCAGGGAGCGACGCAATGTGTGACGACACAACTATGAATAAAAGGGTTGTCCCACCGTTTATTAAAAACTTCAAAAAGTTCAATCTGAAAACATCTCACCTGTTCTCACCTATTTTCACTGAAGACGCTGCTTCACCAACAGGAACATTTAAACACATCTGTTCATTATCTTTGATGTGTAATGACGTCATCTTAATCTAATCCGGATTATTAGTCCCTGTTCTCCAAACCAGTTCAGATCTGAGCTCTGTGAGTTTTTATTCTGTAAAACACCTTTTGTTTGCTTGAGAACTATTGTTGATGTTTGTTCTTCCTGTGGTCAGAAATACAGGTTCCTGTGCAGGTTAAAGAACCCCGGACCCAGACCTGCTGTCTTTATCTCTCTCCAATTCTGTTTTACAGATTCTTCTTTGTTGGTGTTGCTGAACGTCAGTGTTTGTTTCTCAGAGCAGAAGAAGAGTGAGTCTGAAACTTCCCGTCACAGCAGATACAGACTAGAAACATTCACCCTGAACTCACGTGATGAGGTCACATGATGAGAACTGACCAGCTAAATGTGTTGAATGAAACAGTGAGATGAGGCTGAGAGCTCAGAAGAGTAAGGAGGCCTTTGAGAGGAACAGAAAGTCTCAGTAACAATTTCCTCTTTACTGCTTAGAGTGAATGTCCATGTTTTTATATGAACGGACCTCAGTTGATTAATTATATTTTATATAATTACACATATAGATTTATTCAGGAACATTCTCAATGCTTGATATCAGCATTGTGGCAATATGTTGACACACAGCCCCTCCCTCACTTGAAGACCCAAACCAAACTCAGTTTATAAAATGCTTTATTTTAGAGCTGGTCTCCACAGTGAACCTCTGGGGCCCCTGAGGGCCCGGGGCTGGCTGGTGACCCAGAACATCATGTTTTCTCTCCAAAGGCCTTTTTATTGATTGATTATTGATTGTTTCATATGAAACAATCGCTGTATAGAAATATAGGTCCATACATGAAGAAATGAAAACAGTAAACACATGAAGGAGGTCAGAGGTCAATTGGCTGATTTCTGACCTGCTTCAGTTTGCGCTGGGAGAAAAATAGGCTCAGAACAAAAATATCTTTGACGTCAACAGTCAAAAGTTTATAAAGTTTATAAACCAGGTCCTGCTCAGACCTGACTCCAGACCAGGTCTGCAGGATCTTCATCAGCTCATCAGAGTCCATGTTGGATCCTGTTTGTCTTCTGGTGTCTGGACCACATTCACTTCAACAAGACATGATACGCCTGTGGACATGACCTCTGATCAATGATCAAAATAAATGATCAGTATTGATCAGATAACTGATAAACTGTTCAATCTAAACATTACTGTCCTTTTTGACATTGTTACAATGTTGAACAGCTCTCATGTTGTTGTTGTTGTTGTCTCTTTACAGCTGTGGACTGACTGAGAACCTCGGAGTAACATGATCAAACACCAACACATGAATCCTCCTGCTCCCTGCGTGTTAATATAAATGTGTGAACTGCTCCTTTAACAAACTTCTCCATGTTCTTGGCACTTTGTTTTTCTTCATCTCAAAGTGCAACAAAGAGAAAAACATGAGAGAAAGATACTGATCTCTCTCTCTCTCTCTCTCACACACACACACACACACACACACGCACACGCACACACGCACACACGCACACACACACGCATGATGATGTGATACAAGGGGCCATTTGTAACTTTTCTCTGTCACTGAACCTAGTTTCTTACTGTGAGCAGGTGATGATGATGATGATTGATGATGGTCACTTGTCATTGTGCTTGTAATACAAGAGGTTATAATACGTCCTCTGAGCAGCTACACTGACTCAGTATCAAAAAGCTAGCTGGTTAGCATGCTAACTGTCTGAATGAAGTTTCTTCTAGACTGGTCAGTAAACAGCTGCTAATGCTAATGTTAGCTATACTTCTTGCCTGAACATCACGGCTGCTTCCTCATGTTTGTCGTCTCATAAACTGATTGTTCATGACATCACATGTTCATTCACATTACTCCACATGTACTCATCATACTGTTTACTGTCTGCTATTGTTTACATGATGATGAACAACAGGAAGTAAACAGGAACAAACCAAACCAAGGAGTGAGGAAAAAATAACTTTGTGATGATGATGATGGTGTATGTGTGTGTGTGTGTGTGTGTGTGTGTGTGTGTGTGTGTGTGTACAGTTCTTGTTACCTCTTTGGGACCTTTATGTGCTATAAACACAGACCTTGTGGGTACCACAGGGTCCTGATTGGGGTCTGGGTTAGACTGTCCACTATGAATGGAAGTGTCCTTACAAGGATAGCTGCACCAGCTTGTGTGTGTGTGTCATGTGACGTCAGTCGTCTTTTGATTGGTGGACATCCAGGCTGACGACCTGCAGCTCCGTCAGGTTACTGCTGCTGCTCTGCTGACTGATCACCATCTGAACGAGACACAGACAGACATGAGCAGACGCTCACAGAGTCACAGCACACACACTGTGCTGCTCACTGAGACGTACCGGGTGGAGCTGGACCGCAGAGACCGGGATCTGAGCAGCAACCGGGGGGAGCGAAGTGAGGAAGACTTGCGGGACGGCGCCTGAAAGACACGACAAACAAACCAAAAACACTGTCACAGATCCTGGTCCTGATGACTCTGGGTTCAGAAAACCGCCACATGTACTCATGGTGATGTCATCACTCAGGGTCAGCTGACTGACTCATATATTAAAAGAGCTGTACCAGGTTCATGTGACTGGGCGTGGCCTGTTGGGGGGAAGGTGTTGAGGACGGTAAGGCTGCCATCGCCAAGCGAGGGCGTCGGTGCAGCGTACATCACTGTGTGACCACCTGGGTACATCATGTGACCCGCTACTGAGGAAGAAGAGGAGGAGGAGGAGGAAGAGGAGGAGACGATAGAGGCGGGAAGATTGGCTGCAGAGAGAAAGAGAAGTGATCAGGATCCAACCAGAACAGTTCCTCCTGTGTGTGTGTGTGTGTGTGTGTGTGTGTGTGTGTGTGTGTGTGTGTGTGTTTGTGTGTTTGGGGGGGGGGGGGGGGGGGGGGGGGGGGGGGGGGCGCTATGTTCTTACCTGTGGAGGAGGGGAGGTTGTGGATGTCTGAGCTGTTCTGATTGGTGGAGGCCTGCTGACTGCTGGGCTGAACCTGGATAGTTTGCAGCTGCTGAGAGACTCCGCCCCCTGATGAACACAGGTAACAGGTGATGACAACACGCCCTCTGAGCAGAGACTCAGTATCCAGGGCTAGCTGTTAGCATTCTAACTTCAGTAGCAGAGAAGTTAGCAGAGTTAACACACGGACTGGTCAGTAAACAGCTGCTAATGCTAATGTTAGCTATGTGGCACTAGCTAAACTTACATATAGCTCCTTTAAACACCAGAACACTTTTCTCTGTGGAGGGTTCCTGACACATCCAGTAAACAAACATCCAGTAAACTCTCTCTCTCTCTCTGGTGTGCAGTAGGCGTGTCAGCGTGCTAACCTGACAGTGACACGGTGGTGGGGAGGCGGAGCAGCGTGGTCGCCTGTGTCGGCGGAGCGTGCAGCGTGGAGGCGTGGCCTGGGGCCACGGGGCCCTGGATGGCCAAAGGCTGGCCCTGCAGCTGACTGAGCGGGATGGTGTGAGTGCCGGGGGGCAGAGGAGCACCTGTGGACAGGTGAAGGTGGGGGGCATGGCCAAAGTGGTTAGCTGCTAACACACTGAACACAAGCAGCAGGAAGAGATGAGCTGAGACGTTAGTGAGGACAGGGACACAACACACACACAGTCTCATCACCTGTCTCTTCTACTTCTGCACTTTGAGGCTCAGGACGGAGAAACTACCGATTATCTGATCAGGGTTTTTCCTGTATAGAGAACTAGGAGGCGGCCGCCTCTGCCTCCCGAATAAGTTCAAGCACTTGTTTTCTCAGTACTATTGAATCAATACGGGACACCTCCGCCTCCAAACATAATTCTAGTACTTGTTTTCTCGGTACTCGGTGGATTTGAATCAATGTTATGTCCTCAAAGTGCTGTGAATAATATAATGTCAAGTAAAACCAAACCAGTTGCCACATTTTTTCCACATAAAAAGTGGCAACGCTACAGATGAATATTATCTCTTTTACATCACAGCACACCCAGCTTCTTGAAAAGCTTCCCTAAATTAACGTTACATCCCATCGTGTATGTTTTTTGCAGAAATGTCTGTGACTCATCTAAAGTTTCTCCAGCACATGCTCTGCCAAAGGGAGGATGAAGAACACACGACCAGGCTGCGGTCTAGCTGCAACAACAAATGGAAGATGGCGACAAGTTCAGACACACAACTTGGTCCAGCATCAGCACCTCGGCTCGTCCAAAGAAAAGGCCTCTTTGTAAACGGGGCCTTTGCACTTTCCAAACCACAGTTGAAAAGCTGTGCGATAAAAAGTTTACTGCTTATATTTCAGTATGGTATTGTTTATTTTAAATTCTTGAAGGCGACATGGCACTTTTCTGTTTTTTGGGTTTTTTTATTCGTATTTTTCAATAAAGGAGTGAAAAAGAAAGAACATGGAATTTATTGGGTTTTTTTAACCATGGTATCGAAATCAGTATCGAGAATCGTGGAATTTCACTGGTATTGGTACCGAATACTAAATTTCTGGTATCGTGACATCCCTAGTCAGGCCTGACAGTGGGCCGAGCTCTCAGCCACAAGTGGAAGGTGCCGGTGGAGATGATCACAGCCAGAGAACCAAGTCTTTAGGAGTGTGTTAACGACTGTAGCCATCATCTTCCCAGATGTTCTGAAAAGCATAGAAGGAGTGGCTTTGACCCGTAGTGGCTGGAGAGATAATTAAAATATAATTATTGCCCCCCCCCCCGGCCAGGAAAAACCCTGCTGATCAATAAATCAATAGGTCCAGCTGATAGTGAATCTGCTGGAGCAGCAGGTGAATTACTGAACATTGATCAGGTGATACACCTGTCCTGTCTGATAATGTCTTCACCTGCTCCTGCTGGTCACATGACCCTCGACCCTGGAGGCTCCACCTCTCACCTGAGTTTCTGACTGATTTATTTCCTGACAGTTTGAACTGAGCAGACTGTGAACACACCTGACTCACACAACAACAACAACAACAACAACAACAACAACAACAACAACAACAGGTAAAAAACATGGAAACAGTGACACACAGAACAAGAGAAGAGAAGACATCAGCAGCTGACAGACAGGTGAGAGGAAACCCCGCCTCCTACCAGGCATCAAGGTGAAGCCTCCAGGAAGAACGACACCTGCGGACGTCTTCAGCACCGTCCCGTTGGTGGAGGAGGGGGGCTGCCAGGAGGGGGCGCTGGTCTGCACCTGCATGGACACAGAGGATGAAGACGAGGAGGAGGAGGAGGGCGTGGCCTGTGTGGTGCTGGGCATGTTGGAGAACGCTGGTTTGATCAGATCCTGCAGGTAGAGACAGAGACGAGGGGTGGGGGGACTCAACATCAACCTGGATCTGAACCACTGACAGGGACCAGCACACGTTACTGTCTCCGTGGTGACAGTTCTGCCATCCCACTGACTCGCCAAACTGGCGTTACCTTGGCGACCTCTGAGCATCCGTCAGCCTCAGACACCTGGTAGGTGAGGTCGGTCTCCTCGAAGCCCGTGGCGCTCATCCTCTGGTCGGAGGAGGGGTCGGAGCGGGGGGGGGAGTCCGGGGAGTTGAGGCAGGTCTGGATCAGAGCCTTCCCCGTCTCCGAGGTGATCATTGGCTGCAGCTTCCTGGTGGCAAAGGTGTACACATGACCCGTCTCACTGGCAACCAGCAGCAACACCTGAGTACCGGTCAACGTGGACAACTCGTAGGCCTGCAGAGAGGGGGTGGGACGTGGGGGGTGGCGCAACAGCTGATCAACAGTTGATTCATGTTCAGACTCTGACTCTACATATTTCACTCATGTCAAATTATTGATTGATTCTACTATGATGCAATAATACAGGAAAAAACAATGCACTTTGATAAAAGCTTAATAAAAACTAAAACAGTTCAGGCCTGAAAACCACATCTGACTCCGAGTCCAGGACCAGGACCAGGACCAGGACCCATCATGCAGGACAGAGGAATCAGAGTCGGAGGTGAGTTCAAAGTAATTAGTCAAATTATGTTGACTCAAACAATGTGGAGTAAATCTACGGCTTCTGGGCCCCCTGAGGGTCAGACCCCTTGGGGGTCTTGGGCCCCTGAGCAGATGCCATCTGTCCCTGGTAGGTAATGCAGTCTAGGGACAGGTGTGGACCCTCAGACACCAGCCTCCTCTGGTTCTGCTTGGTGCAGGTGAACTCCATCCACACTGAGGTCCCTGTTCACAACCACATCACTGACCACTGTTCACCTGGACCTGGACCCAGATCCTTTATCTTCCAGATGTTCTGACTGAAAACACCTTCCACCTCACCTGGTCACATGACCACAGACATGTGTTCACCTGGTGTGTCTGACTGCAGACTGTTCACACAGAGGCCAGGTGTCCACAGAGGTCCGAGGACCAGCCAGGGTCAGGGTCTGGTCAGGTCCAGGGTCAGACCAGAAACATCATTAGTTCTAGAACTTCACCCTGCGACCTCTGACCTCTGCTGTTTACCTGTCACACTCACCTTCTTCATGATCCCAGTCTTCCTCTTGCTGAAGGTCGTGTACCGCCTCAGTTTGTTGTCTATGAACTCCATCTTGATCTTCACTCTTCCTCTAGTTTTCTTGCCGGGCTTGGCCCCTGGTACCCCGGGGTTGACCCCGACGTAACCCCCGCTCAGTCCT